GCCTTGGTCGACCTAGCTTAGTGTGTGGTGTCCCTGCTCATGGCAGTGGGGGTTGGACCTAGATGCTCTTAAGGTCCTTTCCAACCTTACCTATTCTATGATTCTACGATTCTATAATATATCACATATTAATATTACATATTATATAAATATAAATTATTTTAATAGAACTATGAACAAATAAGGCTTTAATTTAACGAGTCAAAGAAATAAAGAGCAAACATAGCATCTCACTCTGAAAAGCTGAGATATTTTCCTTTTTCTCAATGCCATAAAACATGACTGCATCGTGCAGCGTATTTAAAAATACCACTACCCACACAAAACACATAATGGAAAGTCCATGCAAAATGTGTACTTTTAAAAATAGGAAATGTTTAAAAGGTATTTGAGGAGTAAAAAAATCTTTCCCTGCATTTTCATAAGATATGGATAGCATAGACTTAATACAAAATATTAGGAAAACCCTGAAATTTTATATGGTTTCTAAATACATTTTTTCCTGTTCCTGATAATTATGATCTGCATATCCACAACACTTCTACAAATTTAATTGAATATCTTATTTTTCTTTTCCTTTCCTACACTTGGAGAAATTCACATTCACTGAGTATTGCTCCAAAGCGTTAAAAGAATTGCAGTGATGAGCTAGAAGGATAATTTGTATTCTATAATGACTGAAATGATTCCTCAGTATTTAAACAATGTTAACTAAACTCCACAAGATCTCTTCTGGCAGTAAGTGCTACATAATGGTCCAGCATGCCACTCTGGAAACTCACAATATGCCTATCAGTGAATAAAAAAATATCTAATTAAACTTTTAAAAAGCTGCCAAAATGAACAGTAGGTTTGTATAGTTTGGTAGAAAGCATTTGCAGAAATGTAAATCAAATCAGATTAATTTACATAAACTGTGCAAACAGCAGTGGCTAAGACTGTAGTATACTGGAAAAAAAAAGCAATTTCGCTTTTTTTTTTTTTGGCTAATTATTTAAATAGGAAAACCTTAAATATTTTCAAAACAGATGATTCATTAGGCTTCAGGGAAAGACTAACAGCCAATCTTTTAAAAGGCAGAACATACACAGTACAGACTTTACTATGTTTCACATTTCTTTGAGGAAAGCAAGATTTGAGAGAATCTGACAAGGAGATGAAATTGTTAAAAAACCCTCAAGCCCTTCATATTACAGGTCTAAGAACATTTTCAGAAAATGCAACAAGTAGCAGTATATGTACTTTAATCTCTTATTTTTTAATCCCCTTTTTCCCCTGCCTGCAGGAAGAAAAGTCTTCATTTGCTATAGATGACAGCAAAGTTTCTTGTAAGGGAATTCAATAAAGCAACTAAAGAAGGAACAGAAGCAATTGAGGCTAAACAGAAAATAATGTAAGATACCAGAAAAAGCTGTGCTGCTCAAACTCCTACAGTCAGTCTAGAGCTGCTACTGAAACACCACCTACAATCTCCCACACGAAACACATAAGGGAACAGAGGCTACAGTGAAACAACCAAAAAGCAGACAACACAACTGGTACAAAGTGTCTAGTTTTCTCATTGTAAATACAGCATGTAAAGAGAAAGGGCTTATACAGCGAGTTGCAGTTCCACCTCACTAACCAGTTCTCATCATTAATCCAGCATTACCTTGCTGAGAAGAAGTATTTCTTTTATGTAAAGATGACATATTCCTGCTATGCTGGGACTGGTGGAAAGGATAGGATTTGCTTCTTTCAGGAGAGTAGCTCCTGCTGCTGACACTAGAGCCAGATCTGCTGTGTGGAGAATCCCTTCGGCTCCCTGGTGATTCCCTGAAGAGAGGAGAGTCCCTCTTATGAGGGGATCGCTCTCTCATGTAATGAGATGGATAGAAGCTTTTTCTTCTGAAGCCATCTCTGGCATCCCTTTGAAGACAACAGAAAAATAAAAGGTTATCCTTCCAGTGTTTGTGGAACAGCACTAGATAATACAATTGCAACATTTTATGTCTGGTAAATACTAACAGATTAGCTGTCATCTGCAGAACATGTCTGAAATCTTCAGGCAATGAATGAAAAACAAGTAGGAAAATAGAAAAAAATTTGTGTATGTATGTAATTACTTTCAGATTTCATTTACCTGCTTCATTGCTAGAAGCTAGTTCCTTTCTATTTCTCAATAATACAGCTAAAATGTAAGAGAAAAAGACATTCAAGAAATTGGGGCTTTCATATTTTATTTCTTCAGATTCACTCAATTTCACCTGGAAATTAAACCTTTATTTATAATAACTAAAAATGCATGTGCAACTATTGCTCACACTCTCTGGCTGTTTTTTTCAACTCTATTTTTCTCTTACCCTTATTTTCAAGGGACTATGATTTAATACAGCTTGTTATGGGAAATATCATTGAGGGATTTCAGTTTATATCCAGCAAGGACAAAAAGAAAGCTGCAGAATACCTATCCTCATGCCTGTGTATCCACCCAAGGTCAAACCTTGAATGAAAATACGAAAATTTACACCTACTAAAGGCTCTATGTCTTTCACAATACACAATACTCATTTTGAACTTCACTGTAAAATGCCACAGACTCACTCAGTTATTACATTAAACCCAACTGATTTAAAACCATAATCTAAGCAACACCAAAACTTTCTACTACATGTATATATTGTTACTCCAGACCATACCCCAAAATGTCCTGGTTACCTGCAAATTATATTAATTTACATATATATGTAAAGGTCAGAAAAACAGCATAAAATTGGACTTTTCCTAAAGAAATCTCAAAGCTAACATGCAAGTAATCACCTACTGAATCTAGACTTGTGACATTTGCCTTGGTCGGAAGACACATTGCCAAGAGAAGCAAGTAATTCTCAGCGCTTCTACAACGTTGCTAAACAAAAATAAAGACTTCATGGCATTTACAGTAAGCCAGAATGTATCTTATTTCACTGCCTTTCTCTCCTATTTCTCACCGTAGTCCAATATTTTAAATAAGGGAATGTCTCACAAAGATGAGCAAAGACCTAGTGATCTCATTTAGCACAATGTAGCTATAGCTAATTTTATGTTGGTGGAGAAAAGGAAAAAAGCCCTCTAGTGTACAATTCCCACAGCATGTTGCAGGCCCACATTTATAACGGGTAACAAAGAACTCTAGTATGCCCAAAGTGTTTTGTACTACTGAAACTACACGGGTAGCACCACACTGATACAGACACTGTTACACTGATGTGCTTTATGCAGTGCTGATTTAGTTTTTGCATGGAAAGCACAACTGCTTGAAACAAAGCCGGGTTTTACAGCTAAACAGTTATTTCACTGTTAACAGACCACAGGTTTTTACAAGTATCTTACAGAAAAGCATATTTCACAGAACTACATACCAAAACTGATACAAAACAAGGTTACACAGATTTATACTTAACAGGGGTGCTAAAAGCCAATATTCATTTTCTTTCTAAACATCTTTTCTTCTTCTATTTATTGCGACACATTCTTCTTCCCAAGCAAGCCAGCAAAAGAAACAATTAAGGAATTGCTAAATAGTACTCTGTTTAATAGCCTCTACACAGTAGCCATGGTATACTTACATCAAAGAATGAATCACCCCATAATACAAAGAACTATAATCCTACTCCTTTCTTCAAAGGCCTAAGAGCAATGTGCTCACCTTTGGACACTGCTCTTTAGGAAATGTGTAGATTAACATGAGACTTTCCAGAAAGAATAACTGAAATTATCAGAGTCTGAGAAAACACATTTAATGACAAAACACTCAAACCTCTTTGTCTGCTTAAATTTAGCAGAAAGAAATCTAAAGAAGCCAGGTGAGTCTGCAAACCTACGAGACGCAGCTGAAAACAGGGAACCACCACTTTATCTACACCACATGTATTTTATGCAGCAATAGAGAAAAAGTTCAGATTTTAAGGATAATAGAAAGATTAGCTCACTACTGAACTAGTTTGTCTAGCTAAGTGGAGGGCTTTTTTTACTTATTAAAGAACATATTGATCAAATATTTATCCAGACTGAGTTAGGTACAGCACATTTTTTCTTCAGTTTCCTTCTAAATATCTCCTTTTAAATAATCTTATTTATTTTTAAAGCACAAGCCTTCTGGCAGACCAGTACACCACTTCTACACCCAAAACACATTTTCATGACCAACTTATGAAGCCCTAGTGCACAGAAAAGTTTATTATGGAAATGTTTACAGAGCCCCAGATATTGCACACATAATAAATGCTCTAATATCCACATAAGAATTTACAAAATATCATTGAAACACACTTTGAAACAGGAAAACATGTTAAAGCCTCATTCTACAATAACATTAGGCACAAAAAAGTAGAATCTCACTTTTGTTTTTTAAGTTTTCATTTCATCACTCCATGTTAATTCTTAACTGGACCCTATCACATCCTGAACACTGAAACCATTAACTATATTAAATCTTTTTCAGACAGCATAGCAACAGCACAGCATTTCTGATGCTTTCCATTAATATAACAAACTACAGAGAACAGAACAAAATAAGCATTGTTTTACTTTTTTTTTTTTCCTTAAATACTTAAGCTAACATACACCTGCAATTTGGTAATGAAGGCCCCAATTCAGCAAAGCAGTCAAGCACATGCTTCAGATTCCAACACATACTCAAAAGGTTTATTGAGCAGGGACAATATTTAATAGAGATGCAAAATTTTGTGCTCAGCTCTAACTTTAAAATAGAACTACTGCCTTTAATAACAAATACAGGATTAATTCCTTTCATACAGGATCCCTCTTATCTTTATACTTCGTATTTGTGTCTTGCACTTAGTTTTGAAAGCACAATTTAGTTCTCTCAGCAGTATTGCAACAGGAAGTATGAGAATTTTTAACCTCTACGAATCTTGGACCACTAAATTCTCACTGAAGCTGATGATATTGGACAGGCTCCTGAAATTTTATAACTAACCAGCCCTGATACACCATCCACCAAGGGCAGCTAGCTGAGGGAAGAACACAAGCCTACGAGTTATTACAGTTAATCGAGTTCCAGTTTCTTGGAGGAAAAACCACAAATACAGAACAAAGGTACAGCTTTCTGCATAGCATGAGGCCAAGAGAATACAACACAGATATTTACAGCTGCCAAAGGATCAGAGACACCATCTTTCCTAAACTATCCCTACCATACCAAGTACTTCCAGTCTCATCCCTCCCTATCATTTTAAGGCCTGCAAACCATTCGGTAACAATGCTGGGGGGACACTGAGGCAAAATTAAATTACTTGGCAGATGTGAGATGCCTGGGAGTGGAGGTGTACCTGGGGACAGGAAAACACATCACATGCAATATGGGAAGAAGTTATGTTTGTAAGAGGAATCGCGGTTTGCTCTCATTGAATTCATGCTACTGGGCAACAGTGTACAATACTACATGCTTACTATTCTCTTGGACTTCTACATCCCAATACAGACACCCATCTTTTCAGTTAGAACATTAATCTCCGATCTGGTCCAGCCATGGAGGACATAACTCAGACTTCTGACACTGCATCGGACAGATTAACAACTCTATAGCATATTGCTGTGGAGCAGAAACTGTAGGTTCTTTCAGTAACTCACAAGTGAGCAGTTTATCACCTAGATAGAAAGTCAACAGAAAAGTTTATGCGACCCCTTCCATCTGAGAAAGATTATTACTGTTGTCAAAGGGGTTAGACGTTCCATTTATAGGCTTGGGCTTGATTACTAGTCTTGCTAAAAGTAACTCACACAATTTTATAAATAATTTGAGGAAATTATACATACCTCCTAAGACACCAGACGTCAGTGCAAAGAGAGCAAAAAGAGAAGATTTGAAGCATGCTTCTTAACTCGATATACTTCCCCTGTCTCATAATAGACAGGCAAAGGGAAGGAGGACGAAGAGTGAAAGAAAAATAAAAAATCCTCTTGCCTTCCCTGTCAGGACACTGCAGGGCTGATAGAGCTACCAACGTGATTCAGATGATGTGGAAAACTCTAAAATGTACTACACCCCGACCTCAAAGTTTCTCAAATGATTTGCTGTCTTAAACATCCAAAAAGCAAATACAAAGAGTCAAGAACATCTCTACTTTTAACATCTTCAAAGGAAATGTAGGCGATGGAAGATTTCAGCCACCATCCTCTCTCCCGGAACTCATTCCCTTTCTTTCCAAAGTACGCAGTATATGTTTGTGCAACAAACCAACAATTTACTTTAGTTCTGCTTCAGAGACTTACTATAATCTCGTTTTTGTTCAAAGATCTTTATGATGATTTCTCATAAGCTAAAACAATATAGTGAGTTACACCACTGCAGATAGAATAATTGCATCTGCTTCCATAGGCTTTCATTTGAACATTCAAAATGATGACAAATTCCTTAGAACAACTGGTTTTCAACATTTTATGACTAAGCAAGTAACTGCAGTACTGGTATGTGCATTTGTTTTAAACGAAATTAATGTAATTAGGGCTAGACAATGTAATTTTATTAAGAGCTTTTTGCATGAAAGCAAAAGGAAAAAGGCATTGCAAAATAGTGGTAACTCATGTAGAGAAGGATAACAAGACATACCAAAGGTACAATGAAAAAATAAAAATATATAAATGCCTCACGGTATTTATGCTGCATGTAGTACTGCTGAAGTCATCATACACAAACACCGAAACTCCCCACTGATGCCACTTGTCCAGCTCACTCAATATAAAAGCTACTAAACTCACCTCCCCACCCACCTCAGGATGTCAAGACAGATCAGGGAATAAAAACTAAGACAACTCGAATGTAATAAATTGGAAAGAAATGCCTCTATATCCTTTAATTGAATAGTAAAGCTATGCACTTCAACTGAAACCAGAAATCAGATTACATTGCTCTTTATCCTTAGTAA